TCATAGTAAAACATAAGAAAATGTCAATGTAGATTCTTGGAGGAAAGTAATACTGAGCTTGGATTGCTCAGTAAAGCAAGCATGTTGTTTTAGCTGCTGGCATGCTCTCCTTGATGGGATTACCCATGTATAAGTACACCACCACTCTCTCAAAGGATAGGATGATAACATCCAAGGGGCAAATATAAGTACTTTAATAGTCAGCATATTCCATACTTTTAGCTTAGGGTTATAATTTAAGTTTGGCTCTAGAACTCACAATCAAAAGTCCTGAAAAATACTTCAGTGTAATGACACTTGCAAGAAATAAATGATAAAATGTGAACCAAAAAAAGGGGCTTCCAGGTAGCCAGCACTATATACTGTATAAGATGGTAAAAGAATCTTAAATCATTGGCTAAAACCAATTAATTAAATCATTAACCATTAAATTGAATCATTTGTTAAGGATTTAATTTATTTGTACCTCACATAACTGTTAAAATTCAAAAACACTGTTAAAAATTAGTACAATCATAACTGGCTAAAGAAGAAAAACAATGAGAATTTAGCTTAAAATATTTCTTATGAAACAAATATATTTAAAGGTGAATAAGTCTTATCAATGCTACTCTAAAATTATTAACATGTTAAAATAGTAACTAGGAAAAGGCATGAGCATCCATAGATTGATTGTTGATATATAGATATTTCTTAATTTGTTCTTTTTTTTGTATTAAATTCTTTTATTGGTACATTGTAGGTATACAACACAATTACATTTCTCTTTGGGAATTGTACCTTTACATAATGCATCCTGGTTCTTATTTTTTCCCCATTCCTAGCCCTCCCTTCACCCCCTCCACCCTTCCCTATTTACAAAGACTTTATTTCCATTTTTTCCATTTCTCATCATTTTTCCTTTCCCTTCTTTCCTTTCCCCTGCCCCTCCCACTACCCCTACCCCTTTGGATCTTTTCTTCCTATTTTACATTATCGATTATTCATTCTAATCATTGGTACATTTTAGGTATACAATATAATGACATTCATCATTGGAAATTTGCACCTTTACATATTCTCTCTTGGTTCTTATTTTTTCACCCTTGCCCAGCCCTCCCTTCAACCCCTCCAGTCCTCCTTATTTACAAAGATTTTGTTCCTATTTTTCCATTTTCTCATATTAATCCCATTCCCTTCTATCCTTTCCCCTAGCCCTCCCACTTCCTTCCCCTTTGTCCCTTTTCTTCCTATTTCACATTACCTACTATACATTTAGTCCTTATTTACACTTTTAGTTTCTCACACCAGAGAAACTATTCGGTATTTACACATGTGTGTCCTATTTATTTCACTTAAGAGTATCACCTCAATGTGCATCCACTTAGCTATAAATGTCTCTAATTTCTCATTTTTTATGGCTGAGTAGTACTCCATTTTATTTTTTTAAAAACCCACATTTTCTTTATCCAGCCTCCAGTTGATGGGCATTTGGGCTGTGTCCAAGTTTTAGCTATTACAAACTGTGCTGCTATGAATATGGGTGCACATATATCACTGTGGTATGGTTCTTTTAATTCTTTGGGGAAGATCCCCAGTAAGGGAATAGCGGAGTCAAATGGGACTTCCAGTCCTAGTTCTTTGAGGTATCTCCATACTGATTTCCACAGGGGTTGCACCAGTCTACACTCCCACCAGCATCTTAATTTGTTCTTAACAGGAATGCCGTTTTGAACATCTGGCTTGTCTTTTTATCACCTGCTCTTTTTTGTTCTACATTTGCCCTCTTTAACATCACATCAAAAGATAAAGAGGTACATATGGAGAGAGTATGATTTCTGATATAACAAAACTAAATTAACTGTCAGCACAAGAATAGCCTATGCTATTCAACTATTTGAATTACCAGTGTAAGTGGAAATAAAACATCAATGGAAGAAATGGCTGAATTTTATTTAGTCAGAGTCATAATACTTTCAGCTCTTGCATAAACCTAAACAGCTAAAAGTTTTAAGTTAAGTTTTATTTTCCCATTGAATACAAGACCAATAAATTGATTAAGTTTATAAGGACAATGCCCATTGACAAATAGAGAATAAAGTACAGTACACTGGGAAAAATTAGATTTCCATTTAAGTCATCCCTTTCAAAATATGCTATTATAAAGTGTTTTTAACTTGATGTTATTTTCCTCTTCTTTTTTTTTCATGAAAGTGGGACAAAGTACATAATTTGAGGAATTTTGAGCAAAATTAGGGGAACTATTTTTCAAAAGCCACCACAAATTTCAAGATGATAACATCAAGTAGCATTAAACCAAAAATAGGATCCATGTAAGTTAGCAGGGGCACTCATGCAACTTTATAGCTCATACACTCATGAAGTAATCTGGCAATAACCATCAGGCCTACTGTACATGCACCTACTCTTTTACCCATTTTTCCTATTACCAGGGCTCTACATATGAGAAATATTAGAGTTTTGTTATATTTCCCAGTGTTATTTTAATAAAGGAAAATTGTAAATTTTAATATTAAGTATAAATTGTAGGTTTTTAAAGAATATCAGAAAAACATTTTTCTTAATGACATAAAATGCTCCTAAATGGGAAAAGTAGGACACGGCTAAAAATATAGACTGCTCCCTCTCTCCTTCTCCCTACTTTCATTATTTCCCTATATACACATTCTGAAAACTGAAAAAGCATGTGGTAAAATATTAACAGTGGTTATTTCTGTGATAAATAATTATGCATGATTATCATTTCCTTCTTTGTGGCTTTCTGGCTATTCTACATTTTCTGCAATGAACATTTATTACTTTTACAACTAGGAGGAAAGTAGAAAAAAAAACAATAATAAAGACTTCACCTAAAACTGAGTTTCTAAACTCTAAACAGTTGGAAGCAATAAACTGAGCAGTAATACAAATGGACCTACCAAAAAATGGTGCACTCTCACTGTCTTCAATACAGCACTCTAGAGAAGGAAAATTTAGTGCAGAAAGTAAAATTTCAGCTCAATTTTCACAGTTTTCTTGGCCAAACTTGTCCTGCTCGGTTTTTTTATTTACTACGTAATTGAACAGATTAATGCCATTATTTTTAACATACAAGTTAGTAGATGTTGTACATTAAATTATTTTAGTCTTATAGAGAGTATATTCCAGTGATTCAGTCCTAGAACAAAAGTTATCCTATGATCAGAGCAATAATGACTAAGTTTACATCACAGGTATAAATAATGATCAGAAAACTTCAGAAGTTTGAAGCATCATAAGCTTGGGTTTCCCACAGCAAAGCTGAGATAAAGACTTGGGTAGAGGTAGTTTATTATAGAAGTGAGAGCAGAGATCATCAGGAGTGAGGGAGCAAGAATAACTGTAAGAAAAAGATAAAGCAATAGCAAAATCACTATTGAACCTTTCCTTACTATGGATAGGTAACTGGTACTCAGTTGCTCTATGGGACATCTCAAGGGCAATGTGAAATTCCTCTTGGAATTTTCACACCAAAAAATAAATTGAGGTAGTGAATGCCTCCACTGATTGAGGGCATCCTTGAAATCACTAACTTTTCTTCATTTCTTCACTGGTGACATGAGAACTGTGGCTTTGATGATTAACACAGTAGAATTAAGATAAGGGATAGCATCAAGGTACTTAGGAACTGCCCACCAGGACTTCAGGTGAAATCACAGGTGTATTGAAGTAATGTGATATAGGGCTCTGAAAATGATCACAAGGAATTTCAGTTATGAGTGTTTTGCAATGTGACTTGGAACAGAAAAAGAAAACTGAAGTATTTCTGATTTCATCTGTTTGTATTTGTTGGTGGGGAAGAAGAGGCAAGAGAAAAGGTAGTAAAAAGGGAGAGGGCCACAGTTTTTATATGATTTGTGCTTTGACAAAAACTTCATGACCAAGTTAAAGACATGAGACATTACATACTTGGGAGACAAATTGAAACACTGCTCTTAGATGTAGACGGAAATCCTTTGCCTGCCACCCTGTGAAGAAGAAATACACTTATCTTATATAATTATTTTACTTGTCAAACACCCAAGTAGTTTTGTACCTCTGGATACGCACCAAGACTTACTTTTAGAAAATTATTATTTCTGTGCTTCTTACACAATAAAATCAAAAGTAATTACTAAACCACAAATCTATATACTACAATAGAACTAGAAATACCCTGGATAATCACATCATTTTGGTCAAATCCAGAGTTGCCTTGAAAGAAATGGTCAGTGACTTGGAGAGAGATAACTGGTGAGTCCTTCAAAGTGATTTTTTAGAATTCTGTCCATATGTCTTCACTTTCACTTAACTCAGTCCACAGTAATGCATCTTCTTACTTGTCTAACTCTCCAGAAACTGGCAACTTACACAGAAAATGACACTTTGTCTTATTCACCTTTGCAGCAGAATGCTCAATGCATTGCCTGAGTGACCAATAAAAATTTGCTGAATGAGTGGACAAAGCATTTTCTAGGTTAACAATCCTTGATGTGTGTCAAAAAGATCAACACTGATGTGGCTTAAATCACGTGAAATCTAAACTTGGTTCTATGACTACTGCAGGACATCCTTGGATAAGTCAACCACCTTTCCACAGTCTCGTTTTTCCTCATCTTTACAGATAAGGAAATTGAAAAGATGAGCCCTAGCATGCTTTCAAGCTCCTGCAGCCAATGATCTATGTGTCACAGCTGTTAGCTCTTTAGAATTCACTAAAGGAATTCTGTCCTCAATTCTTAATCTAGATTTCAAAATACCTTCAAATATCCTGTGATTAGGGCCAGGGATTTAGCTCAGTGGTTCTGCCACCTGCCTTGAAAGTGCAAGGACCCAAGTTAGATCCCGGTACCAAAACAAACAAACAAAAAAATTCCTGTGACTAATAGTGTGTTTATGGGAAAGAGTATAGATGTGATGAAAGGGGAAATTAGACTTTTTAAACAGGAAGGCTAATAAGGAGGTTTGAAGATTTGTTCATTTAAAATTTTAATTACACTTACCTTTAGGGAATTTTCTCTCTTCATCTTTGTATTCAATTTCAGTATTTAATCTTTGATTTTTAGAGATCTGGAGGTATATGTTAACCTGTCAATAATAAGGAGCACTTGTATAAGTCAATACACCTTTTGTGTCAGCAACTCTATCGTCTGGTAAACCAATAAACAAAAATGATCTAGAAATTTTATTCACTCTATCAACATACTTCAATGAACTATTAGGCATTTTGCTTATCCTAGACCCCGAGAAATAAGTTAGAGATGTCTTAGTAAGCTAAGGAATAAAGCTCAATGCAAATATAATACTTTTACAATTGATACACACCAAAACTTGAGAACTTTATTTACATAAAGAAGTGTTTATTGTTAGTGCTGTTTATTCTTAGTAGTAATTGAGAAAAAAATTAAAATGAAAATCATGGAATCCATGTTTGAAGCAAAGCAAATGCATTCAAAACTGTAGTTTAATTAAGTCAAATCTTTGAGAAAGAAATAGAAAGTTTTACAACAAACATATTTTAGAATAGGAGTTATTTTATTCACATAGATTTTTTCTACTTTGAAGGGTTTCATAATGTATTTTACTTTTCAATTTTCAATTCCAAAAAAATACTGGAATGTCTATGTCTTAAAGGAGTTTCATTAAATCAAATTCAGAAACTGAATCTTCCAAGATATTCACAGAGTCTTCCAAAAAATAATTTTACACACTCCAGAAAAAGAAAAACTTGTATAAATATTTTAATACTAAATTTATTGAGACATCATAAGATTAATAAAAGTTATCTTTGGCCTGTACCATTGCAAGAGCTGCTCAAAATGGTGGTCATGAGCTTCTAGACATTTATTAGTATGGTAAAACTGCTGCTTGGGTAACCTTGGTCATTGAGATTTCTGCACATCCATTTTCAATTTCTTCTCTAAAGCCTAACAGTATAGGGCAGTATAATGACATACCATATAGCGGCAGTACAGTGTCACAGTTTTCTGTGACATACGACATCCTCTAGGGTCCCCCATACAAGAGTAAAGCCATCTGTTGAACAAATATAGTATTTTTCCCTGAAGTGTGTGTCTCTCTTTTATGTATATATATAATATTAAATTATATATTAAAATATATATTATTACATTAAATATATTTATGTATCTGTTGGCATTATCTCAAAGTATGACTGAGGCAAAACTGTAGACATGTAGTTACTGTATCTCAAGGGCAAAGAGGGGGGTGCACATAAACAGGCATACTTACTAATGATAGTATTAGAAAAAAATGTAATGGTGAATCACAATGGAGAAAATTCAGAAGAAAATGTACACATCTGAGAGTACATTTATGCTTTAAAAATATACATTCAGGCAAAAACTCAGATAAATCTTCAGGTAATTAGGCTAAACAGAAAAAAGCTAATCCCAAAAATATCATGCTGTCTTATTCTACTGGTATAGCATTCTTGAAAGAGCAAAATTATAGAGTTGGAGAACAGATCAGTGGTTTCCCAGGGAGAGAGGTCAGTGGGAAAGGTAAGTGTGATTATAAAAGGGTGATAATAGGGAGAATTTTTCCAGTAATGGAATTGAGCATTATCATGAATATGGTGGTAAATATACAGAATCAGATGGCAATAAAATTGCATAGAAATAACCTCACAAATGCCTACATACTATACACATGTACATACACACACACACACACACACACACACACACACAGAGTTCCATAGTTATGCATGATGTTACCAGTGAAGGAAAAAGATGAAAAGAAAAATGTGTTTCCTCAGTGCTATTGATGTTATAAATGCATTTGAGTCTATTATAATCTCTAAACTAAAAATTTAATTACAAAAATTAGTAAGAGAAGTACAGACAACCCATTAGGAAAACGACTAAAATACTCAAACAACCACTCAACTAAAAGGAACCAAAATAAACCTATGAAAAGTATTCACCCTCAACAGCAATCAGGAAAAATTTATATTAAAATAACAAATAGATTCTATTACAGAGACTAGCTAAAAATAAGAACCTTTGATCAAACTAAAAGTTGCCTGGATTAGAATAATCAGAAATCAGATTTCAGGGTTTCTAGCTGAATTGTCAATTATATTGTATATCTAGATATAGTGGTTTATCAGTTGGTGTTATCCACTTAGCAGGACTTTAGTATTCCAGAAATGAGAATAAAAGTAAAGCAAATGAAGCAGAGACAAATCCGTGTGCCATCTTGCATTTATGATGATGCAGTACTCTGCTGGTGGGAGTGTAAATAAGGATAATGATTCTGAAAAATAGGGTGACATTTTCCAACAAAATGGAAAATGGGCATACCTTTGAACCAGAAGTTCCATTCCTAAGCTTTAGAAAGTTGCTTGTACATGTGTGTCAAGGATGTTTCCCCATAAAAATTATCACAACTGCCTAGTTCTAGTAAAAGCTGGAAACAACTCATGCTCATTTACAATAGAATAGATAAACTGGAGTATATCATTCTAATGAAATTCTGTATAACAAATATGTATCCCTTGATCTTGTGCTAAAAGATGGATGAATCTTGGAGAATACAGTATTACATACAATAAATAAATGAGAAAATAACTCCTCTTTTAATACAAAGTTCTAAAACACCAAATCTCATTTAAGGAAAGCTATATACATATGGTATGTTTACTTGTGAAAACAAAAAATGTAAAGGTGATCTTAAAAGTTAGGGAGGAGTTGTCCTGGACAGGAAATAGGAAGAACAGTTCTGAGGTCTAGAGTGCCCTTCACAATCTATTTCTTGATCTGAAACACAGCTACACATTTGTTTGCTTCATAATTATTTGTTCAGTATACAAGTATATTTACACAATTATATTGGGAACACCCAATATACTAAGTGCTATAAATTAAAAAAATAAAATTTCATTAAAAGATGGCAAATTTTTTTCTTGATCTTGGTAAGTTCAATTTTTTGTTTATACTGTATGAATGCAGACCAACTTTAAAAGCGAATAACACAGGGCTAAGTATACAAAATAAAATCAATTGACAGTCACAGCAGCAAAACATTAAGCATATTATAATACATTCCTTTGCCACTCTCACTTACACCCTAAGGAAATATAAAATACAAATGGAAATAATTAGCTATCCATAAATACAATAATCTTTATTCAGTGGTGCATGGAGAATGAAGAAGCATAAATAATTTTACCCTTTCATTAACATCAACTACTTTTATCCTTATTTTATTTCTCTTCATCCAAATAATTATTTATTTATTTTAGCCATTTCTCTGGTACTATACTGAACACTTAATAAATAGTTGTAGAGTGTTTTTATTAGATAAAAATTCAGACTTTAGATTTTCATTACGATAATTTTAAGTGAAAGCTGATTATATTATTATGTATAGAAAAATATCAGAATAAAATAGACCAATGGCATTTTCTTCTTTTTTGCAGTCTGACATATTTTACATTTTCTACTTTATACTGTAGATATATATTGCTTTTTATGATTAGAGAAATAATGGAAATAAGTATTTGCAATATAAAACTCAAATAATTTAATAATGAGTTTAAATCACTGAAAATATAAAAGAGAAAAATCAAACTCACTATTATTTTGACCATTTGTTACTAGGGTCTTAGAAAATATGGCCTAACTGGCTTTAGCTTCTTTTTGTTTAGTAACTGGCTATTGGCTCATAAAGTGAGAGACATCCATGGGAATAGATATACCTTACTCAATTACATTTTAGCTTTTGAAAGTCAGTTTGAGAGTCAAGATTGATTACTGTATTTTAGTGTTTTGTAATTTCCTCCTCTCACTTCCTGCCTTAATGCACAATTTAAATCTGTATATAATCCTTCATGGGATAATTACTTGTGTATTAAATTTATATAACTTTGTAGACTCAGCATCTGGAATTTTCTGAAAGTGTCCATTATGTCAGTAAGAAAAAATAATGCAGTGGGACTAAAGCCTGTATTCTCTCAATTTTCTTATACCCTATGGGTCCTTGGCTTCCCTTGGCCAATCTCTGATTTTTATCCTAAATCTGTCTTGATGTAACTCATTTATATAAAACAAATCATGTCCCAAAGCATTAGCGAGCTATATAGGCTTTACTATATAACTTATAGCTTACTATAGCACATATAGTTAATTATTAAATTTCTAACTTAGTTTTACATTCCTATGTAGAAAACATGGATGCAGATGTAGGTGAGATGAAAATATAGCATTGTTATTTCAATGAAAGTCAACTTCATTACATATCTTTTATTAGGACTATTTTCTTTCTCACTGACTTCCATATACTTTTTCCCTTCAGTCTCCTTTCCAGGCCTCCTCCAATCTTCCTGATTGTTCTCTCCTCCCATTACTTTCCCTTTCTTATCCAGAGAAATACGTGTATTTATGTCTGATCTCCCAAATTTGAATAATCATACTCACATTTAACACTGTATACAAGTATACAAGGCCAGTAAGCTGAGGATTAGTGTGTGTGTGTGTGTGTGTGTATGTAATAGAGAGAAAAGAGAGAGACAGAGAGAGAGAGAGAGAGAGAGAGAGAGAGAGAGAGAGACTAGTAAATACAAGGTAGTTAACAGATTCATCCTCAAAAAGGGAAAGTGAGGTGAGCCAAAAAGCAAAGAGAACCATAATGTCTTTCGAAAAATATTTCCTGGGTCACACTGAGCTGAATTTTGTTTCACATTTATAAGCCTCATGAAATAGGAATACACAGTACGATTTATTTATATATGTACTTACATACATGTATGTGTATATTACAATGGGACTAGTTTTCCGCGAATTTTTTAACGAAATTGATAGCCATCTCACAATGTTCTTAAAATTGAAGAATATGTTATGGAGCTTTTCTAAGTGCATGAATTCAATTCAGTGACTTTTGGGGGGTTTTTTGTACCAGGGATCGAACTCGGGACCTTGTGCTTGCAAGGCAGGCGGCAGCACCACTGAGCTAAATCCCCAGCCCAGAAGAGTATGTTAATAATATTCTGTTACTTTTTAAATTGTGATTTCACAAATGCCATACTTCCTGATTTAATTCAACGACCTAACTGCAAAGATAAA